AAGAGAGATTTACAGCCTCAGAAACCCAAAGGGGCAGTTCTACTTTGCCCTATGGGGTCACCTGTGTCAGAATTGACTCGATGGCAGTGGTTTTCATGGCTCTTTGGATGGATGCCCTGACTTTAACTCAAGATTTCAGACTGAGTAAAGGTGTTCTGTGACCATCATGAACACAAAATAGCTGTCTGTACACCTAGGAAGTTCTTTACCAGTCTTTCAGTAACAACCTGAACTGGAGATTTTGGATTATATGGGGAAGTATCTACATACGAATGGGGGAACTATACAGGAGGGTTACGTTCTAAGCTGGTACTTGCATTCTGTACCAAACCTCAATTTCTCAATTCCAGACAACTCGTAGGCTACCACTGAACCAGACCAGTGTCCTCTGGTGCTCACCCTTCACACCAGATTGGAAGATTACTGATGGGCCTTGGGAAGAACCTATGACTGGTCCAATCTGGAATGTTCCGAGACTGGCCTCACATTCTTCCTGAGCTGCCTGGATTGCCATTACGACATTCAGAAGAACGAAGCTAAGGAGCACTGTGCATCCTCTGGAAACCCGAAGGCAGGAAGTCACAGTGCTTGAAGCCAGTTTAACCTTGCTGAGCCCGATTAAATGAGCAAATACATTCGGATGGATACGGCAAAGGCTAAAAAAACAGTAAAGGAGTGTCCAGTCTTAACACTACTGAACTGAAACCCAAACCATCCTTATAGAAACACACAATTTCAAAGACAGTACAGAGAAAATGTCTTCCATGTCAGCTAGCCAGAGGTTAGTACCAGCAAGGACGGAACTGTTAACGTCTACCAGATCCAGAAGTTTAACGGTATGCCCCATCCAGACTGTCTGCAATGGAATCTGCCAAAAAATAAAATGAAACAAAGTGTGAGGGACAAAGTATCCCACTCAGAATTCGTTTTCAACCACTATCTTGTGTTAATATGGCCAGACTTCTGCCAACTACAGAGGATTAGGAATTCTGTCTATTCGTTTTATAGAACAGAAAGGGAGCCCTCAGCATCAGCTTTTGAATGTACACCTTAAATGTTGTTCATGGCAGAATCGTGATTAGAATCTGTGATCTTCTCAAGTAGAAAGAAAATGCTTCAAAAATGATGGTGGCGGCATATGTACAAATGTGCTTGACACAATGGATGAATGGATGATTGTGATAACAGATGTAAGAACCCCCAAAAGTATTTAAAAAAGAACCTGTGATCTTGAGCAAGTCAACACTCAGTCACTGACTATGTACATGAAGCCTCAACAGGACAATGAGGTGGTCATTGCTGCACCGAGTGGACAGCCTCGTGAAGGAAGCGGGCATGCTGCAACGTTCAAGGGCAGTTCTCCACTTAGGCCACATTAACAACAGCGGAAGTCCATTTCCAACCACATGTGGTAGGTTGCATGGTTCAGACAACACAAAACGCTATCAAGATTGGGGGATAAAAACCCATTTGTCAAAGAGGAGCCCTGTGGTGCAATAGGCTACATCCTGGGTTGCTAACCACATGGAAAGCAGTTTGAAATCACCAGCCCCTCTGTGGAAAGAAGAGGAGGCTTCCTACTTCTATGAAGAATGACAGTCTTGGGCTCCCAGGGCCAGTCCTGGTCTGTCGGACAGGGTCACTGCGCGCCGTCAGCTACGAGTCCCATCAGCTCAAGAGCAGTGACTTTGGTTTGGTTTGGTTTTGTCAAAGCACTGAGAATTTACCTCAGATATTTTCACACACTTACCGGGTCAAATTCCAGAGTTTAATAATTTGATTGTAAAAAGTCAGGCAGAGGAAAAGGTGTACTAGAAAAAGCATTGAATTGGAATTAGAAAGCTCAGGTTCATTGTTTAGTGAATGGGTAACCCTACGCTAGCCACCTCATTTCTGTTCTCATCGGTGAAACAAAGATGGTCAAATACGGTTATTTGAAACAGCAAAAAAATGTCTCTGAAAGTGCTGTGATTTCTAAGGACCTTATAAAAACTCAAGGCGCAGAAATTACTTTTAAAATGCATTTCAGACTTCCTGAGGTTGGTTTGGGGGCAGCAGTTGGTTCAGAGGTAGAGTTCTTGTCTTCCATGTAGGACACCCAGCCTCGATTCCCAGCTTGCGCACCTCGCGCACACTGCTATGACACCGAACAGCTTTCCACAGCGTTCTCACACCAGGCTGGACTAGGAAAAAAGGTCTGGTGTCTCCTTCCACAGATCAGTCGAGGAGAACACCGTGGTCCAATTCTGTTGTGCGCGGGCCTAACTCAGTGACAGCTAACCACAACTTCAGTTGATGAGATTCATTCCTGAATAAAATATTTAGGACGTGAATCACATACACACACACACACACACACACACACACACACAAACATGGCGACAATTAGGTAAAACTGCAATCTGACCTCTGACTTACTATGTTTCCAATGGCACGGGCAAGTCTGAGTATTTGCTCTGCTGTTTGTTCCTCCCATCTTACACAGCTGGTACTGACGGAAATCTTAGGGGCTAGAAGATAAAGCCAATAAAAAGAATGGAAATCAGGTTCAATATCTGGGAACTGATCATTACTGAAGCTGAATGATAGGTTCCAGAGACTCATTAGTCTCTACTTTTACATGTCTGAAGTTTTCCATAACGACAAAGGAAAAATAAACACGTAAACCATACAAATACTGTACACAAACACACAGATGAAGTTTTCCGTAAACTGGAGCAGCCAGGCCCTTCTAACTATGACACGAAATCTAGAAGTATGATGGAGGAAATGAGTCCCTTTCCCTGGCTTTTTGGCTTGGTTCTTTGGGGAAACAACTTGGTAGATTCCCTCCCCCTCAGCCCCCATTCCTTCAGGAGTTCCCTTATCTTTTCCCAAGTTGTCTACCCCAGGAGGCTGTTATTTTTGTGCAGGTTGACTGACATTTCCTGGATAAACTTCTGACAACTCGACGATATTTTTTGTCTGAACCTGGGGTACAGCCTGCTCTGGGATTGGTGCAAATCTTACAATGGTTGGCTAAGATACTATGCACCTGAAGTGACTATGGTCCGATGAAGGGGATTGGTCCATTTGTGGTCCTGTTGGGAGGGTCATGCCTTGAAATTGAAAAGGGGCTGGGTATATATGCAGCCAACCCCAGAGGTTACCAACCTGAAGGAGAGGAGAAAAGGCAGGAGGTGTGAGGTGAGGAACCTCCTAAAACAGGCCAGGAGCTGTCACACTGGAGCCAGGGACGGGGCTGCAGGGGAACCTGTGGGAGCGCCAGTGGTGACAGGTGAGGGCTGAGGGCCCTTCGGCAGAGCCCATGGAGACAGCAGAAGTGCACAGCGAGGCAAACAGCTGAGAGCGCTGAACAAAGGTGCTGTACCGCTCTAACAGCGGAGCGGCCAATGGCCGAAGGGGCTGCCAGGCTGAGAGGGGCCAGAAAGCCATCCTGCACTGGAGGAGAGGTGTTCTCCACTTCGGGGGCGCAGTCCAGACTTTGTCTACAAGCTTCCTGAGCCTGACGGTAGCCTGTTGATCCTGACCACAGTCATACCTCGTTGCTTCCTTAACAAACCACTGAACTCTAAGTGTGGTCTTTGAGTTTGATGTGGTAGCTGCAAGAGAATGATCAAACCCAGCAAGGAAGTGGAGTGCCTGAAGAAGGAAGGGTATAACTGATGTCAGAAATGATTAAAAAAAAAAAGTTAGAGATGTGTCTGACCTCTGCCTCATAGGGTTTAGCTTTGGGATGACGTTACATGAGATCTGATATTACAAGAAGCAATTTTAAAAGGCTGAAAATTTTACAAAGTAAAAATAAACATTTGCAAGCCAAAAGTCAAAACCTACATAGTAAACTGAAAGAATGTATTTGCAATTTATATCACAAAGGTGCAATTTATAAATACTGAGAAGAAAAGGACCTAGAACTTGATAGAATAATGGGCAAAAGACAGACAGTTAGGGGTAGGAGGGAATAGCCCTTAAACATTTTCAAAGATCCTTAACATCACTCAAAAACCCAAAACCAAACTCTCCACCAAGTCCATTCTCATAGTGACCCTACCTACGATTTCAAGACTATTAATCTTTGTGGCAGACAGCCTCACCTTTTTCTCATGGAGTGGCTGGTGAATTTGAACTGCCGACCCTTGGTGAGCAGCCCAACACCTCATGCACACTGCCACATCTTTCTCCACTGAGCAGCCATTGGGTTTGAACCCCTCACCTTCCAGCTAGCTGCTACCCAGGTTCCTACCTATTAAATTAGGAAGTAATAAACATGTATGTTTATTTGTTGTAGTACTTGAAATAGTAAGAAGTTGAACACCCAAGTGTCCATTAATAACAGATCTTGTTAAATAGATTATAACACAGCCACACAACTCACAACGAAGAGTTCACAGGACAACCGTAACAAGGGCCATCTCTCATGATCTCCAGGATGTAATGCTACATTTAAAAAGGGATAAAAGAATACATATTTCATAGCACCTTTTAAGTAAGAAAAAAAGGAAAAATAAGATTATATGACTTTTTGCTTATCTTGGTAAAAGGAAATATCTAAAAGCTGGTTCAGAAACTAATGATCTCCAAGAAGTTCTGAAGACAGTAGCCACACTCTAAAACCACAAACCTTCAGAGAAATTGTAAAACCATAAACAGGTTTTATTAGTAGTAATAATATTTCATTAATGTGGATAAACCCGGAGGATATTAAGCTGAGTGAAATTAGTCAATCACAAAAGGATAAATACTGTATGAAACCATTCTTATAAAAAGTCAAGAACAGGCTTTTACACTTACAGAAATTACCAGGGAGAGAGCGGAAGACTCCTTGGCTAGCGTACAGACAGTGTTGGCAGGTGTGAAGGAGGGAGGTCCATAAGAAAGGATGGAGGCAGGGAAGACAGTGGGAGGGCTGCAGAGTTAAAGGCAATAGAGACCAACACTGTGGTAGACACTCTTCCCCACAGCATGTGCTCATTTTGTGTCGGCATCATGTTTCGTAGTTCTCACAACATATCAAACTTTTTCACAATGTTATACTCAGTAAGCTACAAAACCCCTCACTACCATGGAGCCAATTCTCACACTGGTTTCTTCAAAGTCAATGTATGAAGGGGGAAAAAACAAACCGAAAAAAAGTGGTAGAATTATTCTAGAATAAATAGAAGCAAAACAATTCATCGCAATATATATATATATTTTAAATGCAGATATATATATATATAAATATATTTTAAATGCAGCTATATATATATATATAAATATATTTTAAATGCAGCTATATATATATATATTTTCTAGACAACTTGGAAATTTTAATTATGAACTAGCTATTCAATGCAATTAGGTAACTTTTCATTTTTTTCTTTGGAGATGCACACTCAAGTATTTATGGGTCAAAGGTCATGATGCTTACTTCAAATGACTAAGCAAAAAGTAAAATATATAATACACACACTCATAAAAAGAACACATGGCCAAACACTTGCCCTCTCCGAAGTAAATACGTATTTATTGTGCTAGTTTTTCAACTTATCTCTAATACTATTCAAAATAAAAAACTGGAAAAAAATGTTCCAATCCTTCATGAGGTGACGTGCTAAGGAGGAGAGACCTCACTAGCCAAAGACATAGAAGCGGGCATTCAACCCTTCGCTGCCTCTCAGGTCTGGAGCCAACTTTCAGCCAAAAAGTAGGCAGGCCTGTGAGAGGGACAAGACTCGGGACCCCACGCAAACTCACTGCCATCAAGTCCAGGCCAGCTCAAAGCCACCCCTGTAGGCTTCCAAGACTATAGCTGTTTACAGAAGCAGAAAACTGGTCTTTCTCTAGAAGAGTGGTTTCGAACGGTGACCTGACCTTGCAGATAGCAGCCCAATGCATAACCACTACACCACCAAAGTTCCTTCAAAACTAGGGAGGTACATACCCCATATCAATCATTTGAGGTTAAAAGGACAGCTTGACCCAAGGACCAAATTCAGAAGGGGTGGAATGGAGGAGGATTGGAAATGGGAATACAGAAGTATGATAAGTGATGTTATATTGTGGAGGTTGCAATTAACGATATGTAAGTCTCCACTTACCATATGTCACCCCCTCAGTTGGCTGCTGCCTTCCACTGTTCAAACTTTCAGGTAAATTTTTCAAAACGGAAATAAGCTACCAAAAAAAAAAAGGTAGAATAATATAAGCCAAATGAACAGAAAGACAAAAGCAAGAACACATTATATGTCAGTACCATGAGAGTACCTAAAAACTTAAATGGCCTTAAACTCTGCAGGTAAGTGTCTACTCAGAGGAGCTTTCTCTCAGAAGAACTTCCAGAGGATGCTGGGCTTTGCTTGGCTGTGCACGTCCCTGTACCAGGACAACCTGAGGTCAGGCAACCACACCTGCACCCATAGGAAGGCAGGATATGAAGCCTCAGGAAGGAGAATGTACTCCGGAGCCACGCTGCTCTCAGTTCAAGTCCCTAACCAGGTCTTCGTGGAAAAGGCATTCCACTTCTCCGTGGCCTTCAATGTATACAGCAATCAACAGCAAAAACTCCCTCAAGGCCTTGGGGACGGCAGCCGTTATTAAAGTGGCATTTCCCAGGTAAGTGCCTAGGACTGGAAGTACTGGTTGTTCAGTTGGGAAAAACATTTTCTTCTGTTTAGTTAACTAATTTGTATGAAAATCATTAAGAATTTGCACAGACCCGGATGTACACACAGTCATGAGCTATATGAAGCCAGAGAGACTCAGAGGTCATTTATTGCCAGAGGCAGCACAGCTCCAGGGCACACGGGGCAGATGGCTGGAACAACAGTAGAGACGTGAGAAGAAAGCTCACAGTCACTTAAGGAAAGGGAGATCGGGCACATCTAGCAGAGTGTCATTGTGTGCTGTACAGCCGATTTTGACTCAGAACAATGCCGCCCTGTGACAAGGTAGAACTGCCCCACAGGTTTGCCAGGCTGGCATTTTCACAGGCACAGGTCACCTGGCCTTTCCATTGCACCACCATGAGAATGGGGACAGTGAAACAAGGACATTTCAGAGGCCTTGCTATGAAACAGGAAGGCTTCTGGAAGTCTATAGGACCTTCCATTCCCATTTCATCCATTTGGCCATGAACTTTTGGAAGCCCCTTCATAGAGTGGACCATGAAAAGGCACCAGTTTCATTTAGAAGCTTTCGTTAAGTACCTCCTCCATATAAATTCTCAAAGCCTTACATGGGGTCACCAATGCCAAACTAGTTTTTGTTTATTTATTTAATTTCACACATCTTAAAACTATTCCTTTTGCTATAACCACTTAGGAAACCTACTAGGTAAATACTAAAGCGGTAGGATATTGGGAAACCATACCATGTTGGCACCCAGTCTGGCTAACACGGCCTCCAGTTCCTTTGCGGTGCTCTTGGGTGGCACGGGAATAGTCTCCTGTTTGAGAATTGGACCTACATCAAACCTAGTGAAAAATCAGAAGTAAACAGCATGATTAATTGTTCAGACCAACATACACGGCTGCCTACATGAATGTTTACCTACCACAAGTGTAGCTTAACCCCAGCCATGAACCGGACTATTAGCCATGCATAAAGGAGAAATGTCGGTTTGAAAGAAAGAAAAACAAAAACTGGCCAGTACTTAGATTTTAAATTCATTTTTTCTTAAAGGAAGAAAGCATACGGTTACATATCTGGGATTTAGTTGAAATTATATATAGTTCTATCATTAGCAGCAATAGTATGAAAAATTCCCTATAGACTGATACTACAGGGAAAAATATTTATTTTCCCAGGATGTTCAAATAGAAAATTAATAATTAATACTTTCCATATTTTCTTCCTCAAAGGACAAAAGTTTTGCCTTGATAGTAATCACTGAGGACTTAAGTAGATGGAAGTGTATTTGAAGTCCCCCAACTCTGACATTCTACATCAGGTTCCATAAACATCAGCCATTAGTAGCATGCTTGACTTTAAACATCTAACTTTGTGGGTCTGTTTATTCTATTTTTTAAACTGTAAGCTTTAAAAAAATGTTTATTCTGAGAAATTCCCAAACCCAACTCACTGCCACTGAGTTGATTCCGACTCATACTTACATTCACAAAACAGTGATTAGTACGAGCCCCCAATAAAATGATTTTTAAAAGACAGTGATTAGTACAGTGAGTCATCATATACACATTGCCTAGATTTAAAATGAACAAGTTTCAGCCTCTCTTTCCCTGATGTTAAAATCAAAACAGTCTGCTGTGCCTGCAAACTCGTGCACGGCTTCTTTCTGGACACAGGATGATGAAAACCAAACACACAAGCACCAAGATAAACTCCCGGCCGTCGAGGTGATTCCGACACATTCTGACTCTCTAGGGCAGGGGAGAACTGCCCCTGTAGGTTTCCGAGACTGTACTTCTTTGTGGGAGGAGAAAAGCCTCATCTTTCTCCCCTGGAGCAGCCAGTGATTTTGAACTGCAGACCTTGTGGTTAACAGCTCAACACATAAGCACTACATCACCAGGGCTTATGTTAGCTGATGAAAGCAGAGGCTAAATAACTGTTCAAGCAATTATGAAATGGTAGGCATGGTATAAAAATTGTTTTAGGGGGGTGGGAATTAAAAAAAAATTGTTTTAGACAATTCCACTATACACTGGCACACATTGTAATCTGAATTCAGGTTCCAAAAGAATTCCAAGCAGTTTATAAAGCATGGCCAGCAGAACAAAGATTCTGATCAACTAACCCTGAAGTCTCTCTTGCATGCACGTTGTAGTGGCCAGCTGTAATAATTTATAGACTAAACAGATAAAACAAATTTGTTACATAACATAAATATATATAATAGTAAATAAAATATATAAGTGCAACAAATTTATACAATAAAAATGTGTCTATTATAACAACTAAAAAGTGAAAACTTTCATGAGAACTTTAAGGAGACATGGCCTAAATGAAACAGGGTATCAGGAAGAAACAGAAGGGGCCGGACAAGAGAAGCACCCTGGAATTACAGTTGTGAACAGGCACCACCCAGAACACTTTCTGCTCCCAAAAAGACTGACATCAACATTTAAAAAGAAAGGGAAGTGTGCTGTACCTTTTGGGTCTAATTTGCATAATCGTCACTCCAGTAATGGCATCTCCATGGAGCACGGTATGGATGATAGGGGCTGGACCCCGCCACCTTGGGAGGCAGCTGGGATGGATGTTCAATATGCCACTGAGTTAAAAAAAAAGCAGGAATTAGCTTCCAAGTGGGATTTCTCATTTCGCAACTCCTGCATACATTGTCAGGCTAATTTTCGTCATTACACTTTCCCAGGCATTTTGAAAACCAGCTAAATCTGAGATGACCTAACAGGAAGGAGTCAGCATATGCTCCCCTCCCATCACAGTCAATTCATTTGCATAAAAAACAATGACTCAAAACAGAGCAGGCACAACTACCCATTCACTGTTCCACAACTCATGCGGTGTGGAAGCTTTTTAATTTAAAAAGTTTTCCTTATTATACGAGAATCACTCAAACTTTATTGATCACAGGGAGAAGAACTATATTTATATTCAGTCATTGCATCCTCATGTCACTTAATTTGCATAAAGAAATGTCTAAAACATGCTTCTTAAATCCTCACCAAATGATCTATTTACCCCAACACGCCCACCATCCACTGATGAGTGACTGAATACGTTAGCAACTTGCCCTCAGTCTCCTTCACTCTGGGTGTGCTCTTGAGCGTGTACAGGTGTGAGCCTTTTTACATTGCCAAGTTCCACTGTTCAGTCTTGTTCTTCCTCCAACCAGTACTGACTGAGCACAGCTTATGTGTGGGCTCGGTTCTGAGTGCTGGGGTATGTGGCAAGGAATCAAACAAACAAACACGTCTGCGCTCAGAGTGGGAGACAAGGATTTAAAAAACTTCGTAAAAAGCGTGTCAGCTAATGGCTGACAAGCACTCTGAAGAAAAAGAAGAGACAGGGATAAAGGAGTGGTGGGTGGGAGGTGACACTGGCGCAGAGATGGCAAGATCAGGGATTCAGCCAGGTCGATGCAGGGCAGAAAGCTCCCCTCAAAGAGGATCGGAGGAAAGAAAATGCCGGCACGTTCACGGCACAGCAAGGAGGCAGTGAGGCAGCAGTGGAATGAACTTGGGTACAGTAATGGCTGGTGAGGGCCAGAGAGGCGGACCAGGCCAGTGTGGGGTCTCATAGCAACAGAATGACTTGACTTTTATTCTGAATGGGAAATCATCAGATTTGGGGGGACATGATCTGAAATTAAGCTTTACAAGGATCACTCTGTCAGCTGGGGTGGTTGTCACACTTGAGGGCTGAGTGCAGCAGAGACGAGTCAGGCGGCTCCTCCGAGAGTACAGGCCAGAGCAGCAGCAGGGGAATGGTGAGATGCAACCAGACTCAGAACTGGATCTGGTGTGTAAAGTAAGGCATCAAAGATGGCGCTAAGGTGTGGGGCCTGAGCAAGTAGAGGGATCGAGTTGCAGTTAACTGAGATGAAGAATTGAGAAGGTGCAAGTTTGCAGTCAAAAGTTCTGAACTTTGGTTTTCAATGTGAGCTCTCCATCCAATATCCCAGCAAGGTAGTAGCGGCAATTATGTACTGGGCGTCTGGAGTTGGGAGAGCAGTTTGGGCAGGAGGGACAAATGTGGGAGTTGCCGGAATATGCATGCGGAATTTAAATGAGGCTGGATAAAAGCCCAGCGTGATAAGAAGCTTAATACATTTTGACAATTCAAGCCACTAGTAGTGTCTTCAAAGAGAAAATGAACTAAACTTTACCAAACTTTAAATTACTGGTCCACTTATAATGACCAGGGGCTTTCTATGTATTCCTTATAACTCAGACTTACTAGGGAAACTTAAGAATAAGGGCCTCACTCAAAAGGCGGCCAAAGGAAGCCACCACTCCAACATCGTACTCCCCAGCCCCCACGGCGGGCCACTCGTGCACCGGAAGCCGGGACTGCACAGCGTAACGCTTCACAGGCAGGCCTTTTGGTGACGGGGAGGGCACGGTGACCACCTCCAGGTTTTCTATGAGTTCTTCCTCTTTGTTTTCCCTACATTGGAAAGGTTGGAAGAAAAAATGAGTTAGTATTACAGGTCATGACTCAAAGACAGGTGATTTCACACCTCTAAGGTACAGTTATGATTAAATTCACTTAGTAGTCCTAATGATCAGAACTAGTGCCAACGAGGAACTTTTTATGTAATTTTAATTATTAAAAACAAATTTTTTAATAAATCATTTTATTGGGGGCTCGTACAACTCTTATCACAATCCATCCATCCATCCATTGTGTCAAGCACATTTCTACATTT